AAACTTACGTTTTCAATATAATATTGAATTGTTTTTCGAAGTACATCATCAAAAATTAATGGATGATTTTGCATTGTTGGACAATAACTTTCATCAATTGTAAAAAATTTATCTGAACCATCAGGTAAAATAGATTGTGTAGATGTTTGCATATGACCATCAGGACTAAAAAACAAAAATATAAAAATATAGAAATTTAATGAAAAACAAAAAAATTTTTCTTACCTATCATACTCATCTACAGGTTCAAATTGACTAACATCTATCATCATTTCCGGATATTGACGAGATAATCGATCTAGTGGAAGACCATTTATATCACCATCACCATGTATTACTGATGGTGTTCCATTTAATACAGTAGGTATTCCATCACGCATTACATAAATATCAGGCTATTGTAAATGGATAAATATATATGTTAGGATGAGAATCGAGATTACATCCAATCTTGGATTCGAAAGGAAAATTTATGTTAAAAACTTGAGTTACTCTATAGATTAATGTTAGATCCGAATTCTTTACGATGAGCTTTGAGAAAGCAATGGTATTTCAGGTAATACAATCATCAATGAACAAACTAAGTTAACAGTTGAGAATTTATGACCTCTTTTTCTTTGAAGCCGTTCTTATATATAAAACCATTCATAAATTCATGAATTCAAACTTAATTGATCAACTGATGATTATATTATCTAAAATGCCGTTATATCATCAGAGCTCATCAAATAAGTGCCCGAATTCAGCGTCAATCTACAAACTAATTCAAGTTTTAACGTAAATGTTTCACTTAATTCAACATTCAACGTGTTCAAGTTCAAATTCAAGATTAGACATAATCTCAGTTTGAATTCTAATCTATATATATATTTTCTTTATAATGAATAACAAATATTTACCTCATTATCATATAACATATCATAACTAATATTATTATTCAATACATCTTCAGGTGTAATAAATATAATATCATCTGTTAATACATCTCGTACAATATATGTATCAACATCATCGATCATATCTAGAAGAAAATAAAAGATTAGAAAATAAAGACAAAAAAAAAAAAAAAAGAAAATTGTTCATTACCCATTTGTGAATTTGATGATATGATTTGTTCTTGTGATTTAGCAGTTTTTCTTCCATTTAATTCTTCATTTGTTTCATTCTCTTGTTGTTGTACATCAGGATTTTTTGGTTTTCCACCTGTTTGTTGATAATGATGATGATGATGTCTATGACTATTTAATGGATCACTCATATGATAATTTTTCGTTGTTGATTGTGTATTTCTTCTTGAACTTATTCGATAACTTTGTATACCATTATAATCGGCATAAATCATTTTAATAACTTGCCATGTTGCTTTTAAATCTTGTCTTTGTAATTGTTCAGCAACAATACTATTTACATCACAAATATGTGCTAATGCTTCAGATGATCTATCACCATTACCAAATATCCATCGTCGTGCAAATTGATGAAATAATTCAACTGAATTATCTACTGAAGAATTTGAATATATACCAACAATAGATTTTCCATGAATTGTTTCATTATATTTTAAAAATTTTGACATAATTTCTTCAGAAAAAAATCTTTTTAAACCCATAAAAGTTATTGGAATATGTCGTTCAGAATATAATGATTGGATGTATTCATTATTAATATTTGGCATTGCAGCATAAACGTGTCCTTTTGATGTAACATTTAATGAAAATAAAGATACAGATTGATCAGTTCTTATTGCACTTGATATATGCGTATGTACTAAACGTTCATCACGACCAACAGATACTAAATTATCCGAATTTGGACGCCATGTAAAATCACCAATACTGTCTAAAGCAAAATAAAATCATGATAACAATATGTGTTAAAAATTTTCAAAAAAAAGTTTTGTTTGTAGATTTATCAATGATTTTATTCCATGATAATGTCATATTACATTCTGATTTTTTGTGAAATTTCAAATTTTCTTTTTTTTTTCTTGTTCAGAATTTTAATCGTTTAACTTATTAACATATAGAATCAATTGAATATTGTTATCTATGATTAAAGAAGATTTGAAATAGTTAAACATGTATCGATATTATACGATAAAGTTTCTTTGTCATATGAGATCATATGCAGATCAAAAATATAACAAAATAAATTTTAGTTAACTTGATAAAAATACGCAATCATCAATTTGAATTGCATGACCAATTTATAGTAGTCGATAAAAGTCTCTTCCTACCAGATCTCAGCTACCATAGGTACTGAAGATCTGAAAATTTGTATGCACATAATCCATCAAGAATGTAGATCAGAGTCATCAGCTTGCTCCAATTGCTTTAACACAACAGGAATTATGACGAACAGGACTTGATTTTCCTTTGAATTTCAGACTTTGAAAAAGAAAACGTTTTATGCGTTAGTCGGTTCCTCATTATTTACGGCTATGCTTTAGCTATCTATGCTATAAATTTTATCGGAGTCCATGAACCTTTGTTAGAATGATGGCCATTTTACTGTATTTATTCGAGGGGGTGAAAAACTTCCTGACGCCCATTTTAGATCGTAACTCTGTAATATTTCAATGAATCGAGGTCAAACCTTCAGAAAAGCTTTGACTGTAGTTGAACATTATTATCTATAAGTGTCACAGAAAAATCTTCTTCTAAAGGAAAATAGCATGCCAATAATCGTCGTGTTTATGCCAAGAACTCAAAGACATCCAGAGACAGCAATCTTGCAGTAAATTACATGATCTTCTTTTGAGTAACGAAAGACCATATACTGGACTTGAGTTATAACTAAAAATATCAAGATTTAATCATGTATTTAATAAAAACTAACGTAAGATTTAATAGACAGCATTTTTCGGTTAAAAAAGCCTGAGGTAACAATAGGATTCGTCCACAATAATCTTCATTGCATTTAAGTTATTGGGACGACTTCATGCCTCTGACCTACATTCTTGGTAGAGTATGTGCCCACAAATTTCCAGACCTCCTGCATGTATGGAGGCTGAGATTTGGTAATGGAAGGGAAAAATTTTTGTCTACTATTGTATTACATTCAAAAGTTAATACTAATATTGATTATTATAAAGCTAATGATTTGTAAGCTATCTATCGATGGTAATGAGCTAAATATACATCATTCTATACAATGAAGAAAACCAAATGAATGTTTCTATTCTTAGATATGTATTCCTATAGAGTAATTCTTAACTATAGCTATCTAAAAACCTAACTTTAATAAGATTTAACTAAAAATTCAAACCTATAGATTAATAATTATTTAAAATAAGATATTGAAAATATCTTTTTCAATCATTGAAAATCTATTAAATAGAAAATAGAACAAGTGATGATGCTCTCTATTAAACTATCTACATATTTAAAAGCAAAGAAAACAAAATATGAAAAATTTTTTGAATACAATAAGAATATATCTTAATTTCATACTTTGATGATGACAAAACGATAATTGTGGTAAATAAGGACGTCTAATATCCCAAACATGAATACGTGGATCTACTGAAAGTGTTGAACATGCTATATGATAACGACATTTTGGACGCCAACTAAGTTTAGCTACTGTGCCAAATGATTGCACTTTAAATAAAGGTTCTTGTCGATTATTACTATCTTGTGCATTCCAAATCTTTAATTTAAAAAAAAAAGAAAAGTTCGATTTACTTCATAAAAAATTTATAATAAAATCTTACTCTTATAGTTCGATCACGACCACCTGTAGCAAGCCAATAAGGTTCATCATCATTCCATGCAAGACATAGTGTTCTATCTGCTGTTGTTAAAACCATAGCAGGAGATTCAATTCGTCGAATATCCCAAAGCTAATTTTTAAAAAAAAATCTTTTTTTCTTATAAATAACTAATACTTTCACATACTGGTACGATACATTGATCATTTAATGCAGCAGCAAATAAATTAGGATTAGCAGAATTAATATGTATATCACGAAAACCATCTTCACTAACATGACGAAATGATGCAACAACTTTATTTGTATTATATGTTCGAAAATCAATTAGCTAAAACAATATATATTGAATATTAATTTTAAAAAAAATAATTAAATTATTTAGTTAAACCTTTGCATATCCATCTTGTGATGCTGTTAATAATAATTTTGGATCTAAATTAAACAAAAACATTGACAATAAGCTGGGTTTTTTTTCTCTTTTTTCTTATTGTTTGAAATCTTTACTTGTTGGATGAAATTGAAGACGATTAATAGTTGCATTATGAATTTTAAATTGAGTTATTATAGCTAATTGATTAGCATCCCAAATATTTAAAAGACCAACTGCACTAGCCGATGCAAAACAATGTTCTTTGAAAATAAATTATTTATTATTTAAAAAAAAAAATTTTTTTTTGAAAAACAAAATTTACCATCAATTGGATTCCATGCAATATCTGTTGGTTGTAATGTAGCACGTGCTTGTTTTGGTGCAGTACGAAAATCAAATAATTCAGTAAATCGTTCTGTTTTATCATGTTGTTCAATAGCAAGTAATTGAAAGCCTATTTAATTAAATACAAAGAAAAATCAATAATAACAATGAATATTTTTATTTTTGAATTTCTTATACTTTGTTGTCCAGCTGCAATTAATCGATTTCCTTCATAATTAACACAAAGTACAGTTGTACCAGCCCGTACATGCCATGAAAATGTTGATTGTGATAACTGATTAGAAAATTCTTAAGATAAAATAAAATAAATATTTATTATCAATAGTAAAATATTTACTTTTTAATTTTGTTTCATCCATTCATAGATAATTGTTTTTTTGTTTCTAATAAGAAAAAAAATTAAAAGAAGACAATATAATAAAAAACAAACAAATCATCAATAAATTATATTTAATTTATTTGTCAATAACAAAAAAAAAAAACTTAACAAATTAAAAAAAAATAATCACAAAAAAATATCACAAAATATTTCATTTAAAAATAAATCTGGAAATAATTAACCTGCAAAATTTAAAATGCACGACGTAGAAATGATTGCACTTGTTCATAAGTCATAAATAAAGCACCGGTAGCAAAAAAACTACGAATAAGTGTTGGTAATAGACCAGTATACAATGTTGTAAAACCTAATTGAATAAGAAAACTCGTATTAATACATAAATACTAAACAGTATGTTCTTTTTAACCTTCATGTCTAATCAATTTAATTGTATATTTCATAATATTCATATTTGGTTTCAATACTTGTATACGTGATTTTATTGCATCAATAGGAAACATAAATATCCAAAAACAAATACCAGCCATACCACCCGAAATCCATGTTTTAACAAATCCTATTTATTAAAATAAATATTTATCAATATTCAATTATTTTTACCAATATCTGTTTTCTTTTCATTTTCTTTTGTTAATAAAGATCTTGTTAACTCATATCCACCAAAAAAAAATCCATAACCCGGACATTCTCTAGCTAACGTTGCTGTTAAACCACGATATAATCCTCGTATACCTTCAGTACGTATAATATTTCGTGTTATATCTATTGGTGAACTAAAAATATTCTCACGTGTTTACCTAAAGAATGCAAAAGAAAAATAAATAACAAAAACATTTATTTACATTGTTTTACGCATTTGATTTTCTTTGGGTAACTGCATGTCATTCATTGTTTGTATTCGACATTTAACTAATTCAGTTGGGCATAAAGCTAATGATGCAAATATTGCTGCTAAACTTCCAGCTGCCATATTTTCTAATGGTGTTAATTGTTCATGATGATTTTTATTATTTAATAAACAAATCAAACTTTGACATCGTCCATATGCCATAAATAAAACTCCATTTTCTTCAAAAAATTTTTAATCTGTTTATATTTAATTAAAAGATTTTCAATAAGTACCTGCAACATTTGCAAGTAATGCTGGTACTGTTCCAGCATAGAAACCATGGATACCATCTTTATAGAAAATTTTTTGAACACAATCGAAAAAATTTTTATAATGATTTGGAAATATTTGAAGTTTAGTTTTGATTGTATCTAATGGTTGACCAACATAAACTGAAACTATTGCACCTAGAAATTTATAAATTAAATTTAAAGATAGACAAAAAAAAAGAACAAAAAAAACAAAATAAGATTGAATATTTTACCAGCTATACCACTTAGAAGATCATGTATAGCAGCTGAATTCATATTTGACAAACAATTAGATTGCGCTAATAAATAGTTGATCAAACAAAAATTTTTATTGGTAAAAAAATAAAAACCAATGAAAAACATCTGTTTATTGTTTCTCTCTTCTTCATTCCTCCTTGAATTATTATACATTCTTTTCCTTGCTTGAGATTACTTTTTATTATTTTTTGACATTCACCAAAAAAAAAAAATGTTATTCCGAAAAGATCCATGTGGAATTATATGTATTGTATTAACATATGCGATGCTGTTACATTGTCTTTATGCTATTCTATTTGTTATTATTATACCATTATTAAATGAAAGGTTTAATTTTTATTTTAATTACATATGTAATTTATTTTTCGAGAATTTTCGTTGTTTTTAGTTTATATGGTACATTACATGCTTTAATTACTTGTACATTTATTTCTCTGTGTATATTTTCACATGCTCGTGCTGCTTATTTTGATCCAGGCTTTGTGCCTTTACCAAAAAAAGGAATTGATTTTTCGGATGTCAAAATGAATGATAATAATAAGGTAAAATATAAAATGAATTTAATATAGTTTTTTTTTTTCTTTTTGGAAATGAAAATTACTATTGTATTTTAGGACAATAGTGACGGTTGGACAAGTATGTGATGAAAAAATTTTGGTTTGATTTATTTTTTTGTAGAAATATGTTGTTTCTTTTAGTTTGTAATCGTTGTGATACATATAGACCAGCTCGTTCACATCATTGCAGGTAAATTGATTGGTTAAGACGTTTGTAAACATAATGAAGGTCGTTTGATTTTGTTTAGGATTTGCAAAAGATGCGTTCGAAGGTAAAATTCTTATTTTTGACTATTAGATAAAAGTTAAGTTAGGAAGTACATTCTGAAGGTTAGGAAACTTTTTTAAAAAAGAAAGTATGCAAAATATTTTGATTCAACTTGAACTAAGATTATAATATAGTTCAGAAGGTTACGGTAAATTCTAACCGTCAAGAATTTCAAATTGTCTCAAAATCATTATATAATAGATGATACAGACCAAGAAATATCACTGAAAACATCTAGATTAGATATCATTGATGTGTAGATAAAATTCATTTTTATACATTCAATTAAAGGAATACAATTTCTAGTTTAGCATTGGATTGAGTCAGAAAATTTATTTTTATATAAAAATCTACATGATAGAAATGAATTTCGTCGCCCAATGTAATCTAAAAATTATACAGGTTATTTCTATATTCTTTTTTGTATTAAAATGAATCCCCTGTGCTAATCCCTTAAAGATCCTTCAAAAAAAGTCAATGTTCGTCAGAACTATCAAAATTAAGATAAATAGGTGGAAGGATAGCCCAAGGCCTAATCTATCATAAATTATATGATTTCTGTCATCATCTACTAGAAAAATATGCTGTTTAAAAAAAAAAAGAATTTTTTTTTGTTTTATTCTCTGTTTATGCGTTTTTGATCGTGCATCTCAAACTTCTCGAAAAAGCTTTATTGTAGCCAATGGCATTTTTCTTTTTGTTTAAACGAGCCTACCAAGATGCAGGGCATGAAAAAGTTGCTTTTTTGAATTAAGCTTTACTCCTATTACATAAAACAGTACTTTTTATAATAAGAGCGTCATTTTTTGATAGTGTTGCGAGACATTGAACTTTTCTTCGTATAGAAAGTAAGAACTTTAAAAAAAATGGCTTTGTCATGTCTTGCATCTTGACATGCGGTTTCAAACAAAAAACAAAATTAAATATATAGAATGAAGGTTCATAGGGAATTTTGGATTACTAAATGATCCTTGTTTGTTGATTATCTTTTGAAAACGTCATGGCTATAGGACTGAAAATTTCATACGATTTAAATGTACTTGGTACAAAATCAATATCCATGAAATTTTTTGCATAGTCATTTCATTTGAATTATCCCTGGAAATAGGAATTTACCATTCCATGATTAAATAGCAGTATGAATTAGTGTTTATATCGATATAATAAAAGTCAATACGGAGGATTATTTTTATTTTTATATTAAAATTTAATTTTTTTGAAATCCTATTTTAGATTAGATCATCATTGTCCTTGTAAGTAGAATATTAATTTTTCATTTGATAATTATAATTTTATTTATCAGGGATTAATAATTGTGTTGGTGAATTCAATCAAAAATATTTTATTTTATTTCTTTTTTATATCGGTAATAAAAAAAAAAGATCTTTTAAATTTTTGAAAAACAATTTTTCTTTTGTTTGTTTTTATTTATATAGGAGTTACTAGCATCTATGTATTTTCATTTGTAATTTGGTCATTAATTATTTTTTCACAGAAATCTGACTCACTAATGTATGTATCAATATAGAATAGATTCTGTTTATTTTTCTTGTAAATAATTATTCTATTTATATAGAGTTCATTCAATAATACTTTGTATTGAATCATGTTTATTCGGTTTATTTGTTGTTACAATTTTCGTTGATCAAGTTCAGTCAATATTAAACGATCGAAGTTTAATTGATACATTAAAATTAGATGAAAGTTCTCGTATGACACCACAAATATTACCATCAGCAAGAGTTTTACTAAGAAAAGTTTTTGGACCTGGTAAACAAAACAAGAAAAATAAAGAATATTTATTTGATAAAATATTTTATTTTTAGGTCCAATATTGCTATGGTTATTACCATGTGATTTGAAAAAATCAAATGAAACACTCGACTTACAAAATATGCATAATGTTTAAAGTATTTAATCATAATAATTGTGTTATATTTTATACATAAATTCGTATTTATATTTCAAATGTGATCTCAAACGCAAACAAAATTATATACAATTCCAAAAGAGAATCTATATCTCATAGTCAACAAAAAAAAACACAAAAAAAAAGTTTAAAATTGTTTTATCTTATTAATCAAAAATTAATTGTACAAGCATTTCTTTTTTATTATTTTCTTTTAATTTAAAATTTTTCAAATTCTCTTAAGAAAAAAATTTTTTTTTTTCTAGATGATATAAAATAATCAGATAAAAATCAAATCAGTATAATGGCTCAAGCAGCAGCATCTAATTTACGACGACGTATTCTTGGTTCAAGACAAGATTCTCCATCAACAGTAGCAATTCAATCATCAACAACTGATATTCCATCAACACTTAATATATCAATTAATCCAATATTATCAAATTTTCAACATCGTACTATAAATCGTATTGATCGACGTTCCATTGAAAAAGTTTGGAAACAAATGGATCGTATTGTTAAATATTGTCAAATGCCAAAAATGAATTTAAAAAATTCTCCACCTTATATGCTTGATATTTTACCTGATTTATATCAAACATTACGTGAAATAATTAATAATTATGATGATCGTTTACATATATTAAATGATATTGAATATTTTCGTATATTTATTGATAATCTTATTGAACAATGTACAAAAACAATTGATTGTTTTAAACGTGCTGGTCATCATATGTATGATGAACAATCAACATATAGAAAATATTTAATAAAACTTTCATTATATTTTTCACATAATTTAGCTGAATTAAAATCTTTATTTAATAGAGGAATATATGAAGGTGAAAAATTTCGTTTAACTAAACAAGAAGCAAATGATTTTTGGAAATCTAATTTTAATGAACGGTAAGATAATAAAACAAAAACAAAAAAAAAACACCAATATTGGTTTTTTTTCCATTATTTATTTTAGTACAATTGTACCTTGGGAAGAATTTAAAGAAAAATTAAATTATATTCATCCAATTCAAACTATTAATGAAGCAACAGCATTACAAAATACAATTGATTTAACAAATAATAATCATGTATCGATATTTGAATTTGATGTTTTTACAAGGTAAATACTTTCTTACATAAGACATTAAAAAAAATTTATTTTATTGAATAAGAAATTAATTGAATTAAGAACTACTTATTCTTATGAGATAGTATGCTTTTATTCTAATTGATTTATACATAAATTATTAAATAGAAACGATGATGTAATAGAAATTGAACAGATCTAGTTTGTAGATTAAAAAAAAAAAGTAACCAGACAAACATGAATAGAAATAATTGATTAAATGTTATTTTATATATTCGATGGTGAAATTTGATGTTATGTAGAGAATCACCAGCGATAATTTAATCAAGAGTTTTATCTATGAATTCTTTTCGTTGTGAGTGAAATTCGACTTCTCACATATGTGTAATATATCGTGTAGTTATTTTTTATGCATGTATAAATTATCTGTATTCTAATGTTTTGTTCACTGATTTCGTTCTCATTCCTATTCTTTCCCACTACACCTTGCTTTTTTACTTATTTATACCATTATATACTCTTCTGTATGATATTTGAAACCTTAACTATGAAAAAAAAACATGAAAAATAAATAATAATAACAGTAGAGTACTGTGCAATAGATGGGTTTGATCACGAGCACGAACAAAAGAGAGTTCTCAATCATGATCAAGGATTTTCTTTTTCAATTACTATCACGATTACACAGCACACTAATATTTAGTTAATATTATTGAAAGTGAAGATAATAAAAAAATTTATTTGATTATATGATTTTTTCAATTTTGTTTTTATATAATAGTATTTAATCAGATTATGTACTTTATTAAAAGTAGCATATGAAGTGTCAGATTTCGTTTTTTCGAATTTAAATGAGAACATTAAATTTACGGATAAATATTTGAAACTTTGAATGTATATATTACAATCGTGATCACGAAAAAACTTCTAATCACGTAGTATAATAGATCACAGTGAAGAAAATTTCCTACTAAGAGTTATTGATTGTTTTTAATCTTTATTAAAAGTCATTAATGAAATAATGCTGAATCTCAATTTCTTATATTCATTTCATAGAAAATTTCATTATGATTGTTTATATCGAGGAAGAAGGAACGAAGACTTCAGGCTTGAAGTTTGCTGTTTCTTTTTCGACTTCTATATTTTATTTAAATTTAAAATAAAAAGTCAAATAAAACTTTCAATCGTTCACTAAATAAATTGCATTGATATTTTGACAAAAAAAAAAGAACACTATATAATATTTTACTAAGTCTTAATATGTTTGTATAGTTTAATTAAATCTTATAATTCTTTTATAAAATAGATTATTTCATCCATGGTCTTCTCTATTAACAAATTGGAAATTATTAGCTGTTACACATCCAGGTTTTATGGCATTTATGACCTATGATGAAGTGAAAGCAATTCTAACAAATTATATTGATAAACCAGGTAGTTATGTTTTTCGATTAAGTTGTACACGTCTTGGTCAATGGGCTATTGGATATGTAACAACTCAAAATACTATACTTCAAACTATACCACAAACAAAACCATTAATACAATCATTAATTGATGGTGAACGAGAAGGATAGTAAGTTGATATTATAAATATTTTTTTTTATTCAATTTAAAATTAAAAAAAACAAATTCATCTAGTTATAAATATCCTAATGGAAAAAATATTCATATTGATCTTTCATCAGCATTACGACCAACAGAATCTGATCGTATATATATATCTGAAGAACAATATGCTATATATTGTGATATGGGTACTTGTTTTGAATTATGTAAAATATGTTCAGTTAATAATAAAGATTGTAAAATTCAACCATGTGGACATTTACTTTGTCAAAGTTGTTTAATCGCTTGGCAGGTTAAGTGTTTTAAAAACAAAGTTTTTTGTTTTTTAAGTTATTTTTATTCTTTTTTTTTTTGTTGTTGTTTAGAATCAAAATAGTGCTAAACCACCACCATTATGTCCATTTTGTCGTGGTGAAATTAAAGGTTTTGAATCAGTTGTTATAAGTCCATTTGATAGTGCCTTAGTAATAAATAGAAAAGAATCAAGTCCAAGTGGATCGAATGAATTTGATGATGTAAAAAAAAAAGTTTTATATTAATTTAATCAATAATTATATATATATATTTTTTTTTATTTTAGCAAACATTAGATGCTAATCCAAATGTTCAAAATTTACAATCACTTGCTATCGCTCGTCCATTAAATAATGAAAATTCTCATCAAGTACAATTTGTTTTTGTTTTTTTTCTTTGAAATTATTCATATTTTGTTTTTTTTTTAATTTTAATAGAATAATAATGCTAATAATTCTTCTGATATTATGTCTTCCGCACCTCCACCTATTCCACCTCGACCTGTAACTATTAAAATGAATGGAAATCGTGCATCGACTGATACAATATCGAGAAATAATTTTCAACAATTTATTCATCAAACTATACCTCCTCCATTACCACCTCCTTTACATAATAATGATGTTTTATTAGTACCTCAAAGAGTTCCTACAAAAAATCAACAACCACTTTCATCAGCATCATCAAGCGAAAGTCTTAATGATTCACTTGGTAGAATTTATAATAGAAATGTTTTTTTTTGTATAGTTTTATTTTAATAATATTTCATAGCTCTACGTCCAACTGCATCAATAGATTTAACACCAACACGTCCTGTCATGTCATATAATAGTATTAATAATCAAACAAGATCATTAAATCAAATAGCTAGGTAAATAAGTCGGTAGATACATTATCTCAAAATTAAATAAGCATATTTAATCCTTTGGCGACAGGAAACTTATATATACATTTTAAGCTTTTGTGCACATCCTAACTTGTACAATCATCTGTCTTCACTAGGCTATAATAGTATTGTCTTCTCCTTGCTTATAGTCACTTTCACACAGCATCATCTTGTAGTACCATTATACATTTATACAAAGGAAAAACAAGCGAATTTTCGAATCCGAAAATACTCAAGAATCTATGGAATCTCTACACTGAAAAATCGTTTAGAATAGTATGAAGTTAAACAGAATCCTCTAAAATCATAGAGCTATTATTTTTGATGGTGTTGCGGATTTTACTGAAGCTTTAGTGTTGCAGATCATCAGATATTAGATTTTCTATATTACGATATGTGTTCTTCATGGAACTAACCGCAAGATTTCATAAAATTCAGTGTCATTCTACTTGATTGTACAATCCAAGAATCTTATGAAGCTTGATGATTCTTCACGAAATTCTCAGTCTTCCTTGGTGCATATACGCCTCGTTTCAAGTTTTTAAAAATAACCCGTCGCCAAAAGGTTAATAACAATCATTAATAGATAAATTAATTTTACAATTCTATTGTTTTTTATCCTGATGAAGACTATGGCAGTTAAAATTCATGAATAGTTTTAAAAAATTCATGTCTAGTTGTAAGTTTCATTTAAAAGTGCTGCGTATTAACTGCAAAATTTATAATGCTTCAGTCTACAACGATAAATAAACTCGATATCCGTTGTTTTGAAATTTTGTTTTTTTTTCAGAGAAAAAAATAAGAAGTATTTTTAAAATTAACATTTTAAAAGAAATAGATTAGTAAGAAAATATGAATCGAAAGTTTTTATTTTGTATGACATTTGAAATTGATATTTAAAAATTGTTATATAATCTGTTTTTTTGCTTATTATCATAATTTATATTAAGGACAATCGAGATACAAAAATAGTTCTATTGACTTTTCTTCAATTTTAACTTTGAATATATATTTGAAAAGACTCAAATTTAAAAAGAAAAGGAAGTAATAAAAAGTTATTTATTATTTCTGTCGTGAATTGTTGACTCATCAAAGAATAAATAAACTACTGAAATTAATTCTTAAAAAAAAAAATTCTGTTTTTTTTTCTAGTCCTGTTTTGGATTTGATAACAAATAATACTGATCAATTTCGTACAATTGATGATATTCGTTTACGTTTAATTGATGAACATCATATTGAACAAACACGTATTGAAGCAGCTTTAACATTAACACAAGGTTTATCTTTAATAAAGCAATATGAATTAGCAAAATCATTTCTTAATCAAATTCAACAAGAGCAAGCATTGAATTATAATAATAATAATACATTTATAAATGGATCATTTATAAACGAACTTGAATAGAATCTTTTCTTTATATTTTATTTATCTTTATCAACAGTGAATTAAAAAAAAACGAATAATTATTAGGAAATAATTCTGTAGAAAATTCGATACGTTGACATGCCAAAATGGATATTTTTTTTTGTGTGTGTGTCTTGGCAATAATATTTCTCTTTCATATATATATATAAATCATCAATTGTCTTTTCTTTTGACAAACGAATATGTATTTAATGTTTTTTTTTTGTATTATGTTGGAAAAAAATACTTTGAATAATAAACATATGTGTGTTCTAGATATAAAATATAAAAAATGAAAGATATTCCAAGTGAGTTATTATTAGTATTATTATGTTTTTTTCGTTGATTTATTTATAAAGAAATTCTATTCTGATGTTTCTAGCGACATGTGTTGCTGCTGTTTATTCAGAAATAGAACCTAAGCCACAAGTAAGATTGATATTGATTGTATGTTTGATTTATTGACTTGTCTTTCTTTTTTTTTGTTTCTAGTTAAAAGATATTGAAAAATTTATGCGTGATCATGGTGCTGAACCAGTGTTAGATTTTAGTTCGGAAGATCTTGAAAGCAAAGTTGAATCGATTATACGTGAATTAAGAAATGTTCTTAAAGATTCTTTACTTGAAAGCGGTAAAGAATATTTTTTATTTTATTTTTCATAAGAAAATCTATTTAATTAATTAGATATGGAAATGTTTCTTAATTCTGTAATGAGTTTAATATTGGTTGTACCTGAAGATAAAATAAATCGACCAATTTTAAATTTTTCGGAAGCTATTGTAAATGCAAATCTACCCGAAAAATATGGACCAATAAAAATTCGAGTGTGAGTTAAGATTGTTTTTTTGTGTTTTGAATTGAAAATAAATATTTTAATGGTTTGTTTTTCAGATTAACGAATTTAATTTATGTAATACCGGAACATGCTAATACAGATAAATATCGTATTTTGATGGATTTAATTAAATGTGCTCGAAATCATCGATGTATCAATGCTGTATCAGTTGGAATAAGTCAAGTACATTTCTTTGTTTTTTTTTTAAACAAAGAAGGAAAATTTCGAAAATTATCCAATCCTAAGGATTAACAAAAGAACTTTTTATTACTTTAGAAAATAATGTGTGGATTAGATATGAGTCTTCTATAACTTTGAGAAAACATTTTTTTTTTCATAAAACGATAAACGATTGTCTGAAAACACAAGTTGCACAATTTAAAATATGTAGAACAAACCTTGATAAATTGTCTTACATCGAAAGCAAAATACGTTAAAAACTCGCTGATGATTCCTGTTTGTTTTTTGAATTTTAGGCTATGATATAACTGTTCTTTTTCTTCTAAGGCTTTGAATGTTTTATAAAAAACTGAGAGATAAACATGCTTCATATAAGTATCATGTTAGATTGTTTGATCGATTTACAGGCGATGAATGAATTCAAATAATATATGACAATAACTGATCGGAATAGGATTCTTTCGATTGAAATGTCTACTATTCAGATAAAGAAAATAGTTTTCAACTTCTAAAATAAAATTTCATATAAGCGATGATTATACATTAGTATAATTATAATCTAAACGGTGTTTTTTTTTGTATGATACAACTAATCATTCGTAGCGTTTACAAGAGATTACAAAGAAATTAGAGTAAAATATAAATTGGACTTCAGAGACTATTTTGACTGATAACACGAGAAAGTATAATTTTCAAGCATTTGAGCAAATCCATCTACACTCACACCCGTTTTTTTCCATCACTCGATTTCCTTTATACTTGGAGAAGCCAGTCGTGTTAATACACCGATTTAGACATGCACCGAACTTGAGCTCGAGGTTTTGGACAAACAGCTCACATTTATGTTTGTAAACTATCCAACCAGTTCAGACAGTGTCAGGTACTTGGGTAATTACCCAAGCATTTGCTAAGGTATATGGACAATCATGGACGCATTCTAAGGTTCAGTTAAGCTCAAGTTTAAGTTTTTCTGAACATTGTTGACTTTTGTAGGATGCTTACAGACCTTCGTTTTTTGGATCATTTATTCTATTATGTGTAGATCTATCATAGTTAAGCTTAAAATCTTTTCTTTTCACTTAGTTCTGCTTTCTTTTGTTTATTAACTGAAAATGATTGCAGTCAAGACCGAAACTCGAAATTTTGGGTTCGATGCATGCCTATATCGGCCATCATTGTGAGTTCTTCATGTACTCACTGACTTCACTGTTAGTCTTATTGTTAAACTTCGAGTTAGATCATGTCTAAAAATACTCCTATATTATTTCTGAACAACTTTACTCACAAAGAAATCATTCTGTCTTCTTAAATATTTAATTTATCTTTTGTATAACTTAGGTAAAAATTTGGGTTAAAGAATGGAAAGTTTCAAATGAACAAGTTCAAGAACTCTATCGAAATATGCATGAAGCATATGCAGCAATTGGTGATTCGTATGTGATTTTTTTTTAAACATAACAATCCATTCTTATCTAATTAATATTGATACAGAACAAATGCATTACAACTTTTACTTGAATTACTTGGTACATATACAAAAGAAACAGCATCAAAAGCTCGTACAGATGCATTCAAGTAGGATTATTTACAAACAAAATTTCTTCTCTATAAATAATCTTTTGTTTTTAAATTTATATTATAGATGTATTATCAATAGTATTAATGATCCAAATGTATTCATAATGGATCATCTTCTTTTACTTGAACCTATAAAAGTTCTCGAAGGAGAAAATATTCATAAAGTAAAATTTCTATAAAAATTTTCATTTATTTATTTATTTAAACTTTATTTTTTTATTTTAGTTATTAAATATTTTTGTTCTTGGTCGTTTACAAGATTATCTTGAATTTTATTCAAAACAAAAATCATTTATTGAATCATCAGGTATGAATAAATTTTCTTTATTTTATTTTATTTTATTTTAGAATATTTTATTTAGGTATTAAACATGAAAGAAATTTAACAAAAATGCGTTTATTAACATTTCTTCAAACAGCTGAAAGTCAAAAAGAATTAACATTTGATGCAATTGAAAAAGAAATGCAAATACCATCTGATGATATTGAATCATTTATAATTGAAGGTAAAAAAGTATTTTTTATTCTAAAAGATATTTAATTAATTCAAATAAATCTATTTTAGCTGTACGAACAAAAATGATACGTTGTAAAATTGACCATCTTGCACGAAAAGTTATTATTGATAGTACAGCACAACGTTCATTTACAAAACAACATTGGATATCGTTAAAAGAAAAACTTGAATCATGGAAATCTAATTTAACTATGATTAATAATAATCTTCATACATTATTAAATGCAAGAGCAGTAACAACATAGAATTTTCCTTTTCTTTTTCTAGGAGAATCTTTTTTTTTTCGTGACAGTTTTTTTGTTGTTAACATCGTTCTCATAGATAATTTCGATTTATCAAAAAAAAAAAATATATATAATATTGTTATTGTTCGTATTGTTACAAGAAAATATTTAACAATGATTTTTCTTTATGAAGAAGAGTTTTCAAGTTTACAATGAAATCAACTTTTTTCAGCCGTGTATCTTCTATGATTCATTTACGGTTGATTCTAGTAACGTAGTTATATTTTGATACTTAAAAAAAAAAAAGAAAGCAAATATTGTTTTAATATCTAAATTTCATATTCATATATATACTCGAGAGACAAAAGATCAATAAAGTGTGGAAATTAAAAACAAAACAAATTGTCATAGGGTATAAACATACTCTACAAAGATTGGTCATGGACAATACATCAAAAATCGATGGTTTTTTTTCATCAGTGCATGAATAGAGTACTTCAAGTTGTGCATATAGTAGGGAAAGCTGCAGCTCTCTAGCATGTTTTATTCTCGAATGGTTGGAAAAATAATCACAGCTATTATATTCGTGGATAGACAGTAGATTATCATAAGATGTATCATATAAGATTTACTGTCATAGAAATACAGATTTAACTGTAAAAGTATTCATATGTAGAATGAATTAACTAAATTTCATAATGTAAATTTACAGATTTTTTTGTAATATATTTGTATTTATAAATTGAGATTTCTTGTATCAATAAACGCAATTTTCTATAAAAGTTTCAAACATCGCAAAATCGACTTCAATTACATTTATTGTTTAACATCTGATATACAAGCGTGGACGTTAAAAAAAATCAAAATTTAAATGCTTCAATTGTGGTATTGATTTGTTTAGTACTCCAATGACCTGTAGACGATTCTTCATTGCATTAAATTTGTGTTGAAATTCTTAGACAGTCATCAGAAATTCAGAATATATTTTCAGAAAAAAGAATAATTTTTGGTGCGAGAGATTTTTAATTAAAGCATATGTGAACTTAAAGATGATAACTGAATCATCAGCCGCAATGAAGTCAACAGTTCTCCATATATCTCTTAAAGTAAAAAATTGACATTTTATCATATATATACAATTGTTTAGAAGAGTATGATTACAGCCAATAAACATTCTCATTCAAATAGGATGATAAAAACTGTACTTTTCATCAATATATTCTTACATTCTTTATACAGAGCACAGCTATATATAATGTTAGTTTAACAGAACCAAAACTCTCAATCATAATGAAAATTACTCTATCAGATATGTTGATCCTGTCATGACAAATTCATCTTTAAATTAAAATCTATTTTCTTTTCTTTCTTAGTTCCATGATTTATATAAGAGAAACAGACTAAAAAAAATAAAGTTACATAATAAAAATGAATGGTAAATTCACTACTCATTGATATTTTTGCTTGTTCTCCGCTAAAACGTTCGCTTTACCAGCATATTTTTTGCTTAGCGTTCGCTTTGCCAACATTGCAGATAAACCGAACGTTTGAGATACCCCATTTCATACCACTAACTATTCAATTATTAGACGAGTTACAAATCTTTTTTTTTATATGAGTAGATGCAGAATTTAATTCTCTTTCCCGTAGTATAAAAAGGAAAATTTTAGCCCTTGGAATAATCAAGATATAAGTGATGGAACACAGGCACCCATAAAATGCGTTCGGTTTACCAACATTGACTCTACGATAAGATTTTGCAAATACAATGCATTCATTTCATTCTCCACAAATAACGTGATCTCTACAATATGAATGTGGTTCAATTTTAGCATTATTCAAGCGTTTTCACAAAGGTTGACTAGAGAAAAAAATTAAAGTCAAAATAGATAAAAAAGTTCATGTTCATAATCATTAGAAGAATTGTTTAAATTGATTGTTGTAAATCTTTCTTAGTAATGTATTTGATTAGATCAACAATACGGTTTGAATAGCCATATTCATTGTCACACCTAGAAAGAAAATTATTGTATATAATAAAGAAAAATATTATTTAAATAAAAACATACCACACAATAGGTTTGACAGAATTATCATTAAATGAAATACCAGCTTTAACATGAAAAATTAATGAATGTATATCACCAATAAAATCTGTTGAAACAACTTCATCATCAGTATAAGACAAAATATTTTTTAATGGACCATAAGTAGCTTCTTTAATTGCAGCACAAATTTCCTCATACTTGACCTAAATAAATAAATTTTATTTTGATCAATTAAATCTAAAAATAAAAGCATGACTTACGCCATTGCTTAATCGAGCAGTAAGATAAACAACTGAAACATTTGGTGTTGGAACACGAAAAGCTATACCAGTTAATTTTCCATTTAAATCAGGAATAAGTTTTCCGACCTAATTAGATCCAAAAATAATTTTTTTATTTATTAAAAAATAATAAATAAATAAACATACATCGTTAGCTGCTCCAGGTGATGATGAAATTATATATTGTACATCTCCATCTTTACCTTGCCAATCCTATAGAAATAAAATAGAAATTAAAAAATTGTCTTTTTTTATTTAATTAAGTACTTTATTTGATGATCCATCAACAATTTTCTCTGTAGCAGTGTACGAATGTACAGTTATTATTAAAGCTTCAATAATACCAAACTTTTCATGAACAACTTTAGCAAGTGGTGCTAAACAATTTGTTTTACATGATGCATTTGAAATAATTGTTTCTTTTCCTGTATATTTATCTTCATTAACTCCCATAACAAATATTGGAGCATCAGTTGATGATGCTGTGATTATAACTTTTTTTGCACCGGTTTCTAAATGTGGTTTACATTTGTCAACTGTTGTAAATACACCGGTTGATTCAAGAACATATTCAACACCTATGAAAAAAAAACGAAATCAATTAACCATTTATCATTCAAAATCAAGAAAAAAATGCATACCGAGTTGACTCCATGGAATTTTTGATGGTTCTTTTCTAAAAATAAAATCGAAAAATAAAAGTTTTTATAGATAATCAATTGTTTCGAATAGAGAGGATGTCTGAAAAGTTTCTTCCTTTTTCTATATCATTACTATTTTATTTAACTTTATCAAGAATTTTTTAAAAATGTTATGTGACTATAACGAGTTTTTATTTCAATGAATAAACTTTGAAGGTATCTTTGAAAACTACGAAACTTTATAGAAAGAGAAATATTTCACTTGCAGAATAAAAAAACACGATGCAGCGTTTCTTCTTTATTTGTTGAATTATTTTTATCTTTAAATGATTGAGAATGTTTAATAGTCATTTGATAGATTGTTTCGATAAAAATAAACACAATGACGTTAATAATCTTCATCTATGACAGATTTCTCTTTTCCTATGAGAAGATATAGGTATTATAATAGAAAATAAATGAAAGGACGGGGGCGCATAAGAAGAGAAATCGGCCCATCGGACTTTTCTTGCCCAATCCCATTGAATCATATATTAAATGAAAGAACGTGTTAAAATTAACATTTTAACACTATTTTCATAGACTTTCGATCGAATTTCTGAAGCAAAAAGTTATTAACAAAGTAGTTCATTTTTGGTCATTAGTCCAATAATCGACTCTATCATAGTCGACTCAATTTTCGAATAAATTGATTATAAAAGTTGGTTGTAAAATTAGTATCTGATAGCTTTTTTATCGGGCTTCAATCCTATATATGAATCAATAATTGGTAGTTTGATTTAGTGGCGAGGAGAACTGATATACTGGCAGGCATTGTTAAAAAAAGCCCTCCATTTACCATCAACTTTTATCTTTCAACAAATATTTTGTCATAAAAATGGAAGGTACCAAAATTCTAGTATTGCTCATTGGATAGCTCTTTTCAAAAGCTACAAAACTATATATTTTCTAAAGTCTAAAAAGTT